GAGGAAAGAACATTCTGGGAGGAAGAAACCAGTTAGGCAAGGCTGGAGGACAGGGCATGGGGAAAGGGGAAGAAGGAGGGAGGTGCCGGCACAGAGACAGTGCCACAGCCGGGTTGTAGAGGGCCCTGAAAGCCAGGCTTACAATAGTTGGGTGACAGCTTACAAGGAGGCCTAGGGCATAGGCAAGACACAGCAGGGACACAAGCAGGGACACAGGCAGGACACAGACAGGGAGACCTGGCTGTGCCTGAAAGAAGCCTGAAATGACACCGTGTTGACTGTGGGAATGAAATGGAGGCCATCCTGGGCCAGGCCATGGCCGGTAAGCCAGGGTGCTCTGGGGTCAGCTGGGCTCCTTCCTCACCTCCTCCTAGGATGGAAAACCTGTATCAGAGTGAATGGCATGTTGATGGCACTTCTAGTCCCTGTGCACTGCTCTGAGCTGAGTCCTGTTCCTGCCCACAGCAGCTTTGAATGCCAGTGTCCCTTCCCTATGCTCTAGCAAGGGCCTGTCATAGACTTAGAGTGTCAGGATGGACCCAAGATGCCCCATCCATACTCACACCTCCTAGAATAAGGACTGAGGACCAGGAAAAGCCAAGCAGTTCACACCTCTGTGAACCCAAGGCCCAACCTGCCTTACCTCAACACCCAAACCCAGCTAGACTTCATCCCCACAGGCCTTGCCTCTCACCTGCCTCTTAAAAGGTGCTAGTGAAGGTCAAATGACCAGTGTGCACTGGCTTTATTAAATGAATGTCTGACATGAGCCTCACTGTGCCCTGAAACTCTAGCACAGTCAAATGCAGGACAGGATCCAGTCATTGGGTAACCCACAGGGACATGCTGGCATAGTCCCCTCTTCTAACATCACTGGGTTCTGGCTCCCATGAACTCAGACTGGGTACCAGGACCAGAGGCAAAGCAGCCCCCAGCCTGCCCACAAAGACAGGGCAGAGGACACACTGTCACTGAGAATGACCTCATGAGGTAACCAGGTCTATGACTAGGGGAAACCAGCAGCTGTGGGCACCAGGGGGTGTGGGTGTGCAAAGACTGGTTTCTGTCCTGGACTGAAAATGGCTCCCAAAGATATCCACTTTGAAATTGACAGACCCTGAGAATGTAGCCTGATGTACCACTAGGGGCTGGCAGATAGATGGGGAGATGACCCTGGCTTACTGGGATGGGTACTAAATGTTATTGCAAGTGTCCTTATAAGGGAAAGGGAAGGTTGGGCACCTAGCTTAGCATGTACAAGACCCTGGGATCCTTCCCCAGCACTGTCCAGAATGAATGAACGAATGAACAAATAAAGCTATATGTGTTGGCACATGCTGGCATCCCTAAGACTTTGGAGGTAGAGGCAGGAAAATGAAGAGTTTAAGGTGATCCTTGGCTACATAGCAAGTTCAAGGCCAGTCTGAGCTATAGGAAACCTTGTCTCAAAAAATTAAAAAAAAAAATAGAGCCAACAAGATGGCTCAGTAGGTAAAGGTGCTTCCCACCCAACCTTGATGATCTGAGTTCCATCTCCAGAATCCATATAAAGGTAGAAGGAGAAAACCAACTCCACAAAGCTGACCTCTGGCATGTGCTTGCCTAAACACACACCTCCTACATACACAAATTAAAAATAAAGTTAAAAAAAAAAAACCAGAAGAATAAGGAAGCAGAGGGCAGTCTGACTGCAGAACAGGGAAAGACAGTGAGAAGATGACGTAGAAACTGGGGTGATTCAGTCATGAGGAATGCCAGCAGCCACAAGAACCGAGAGACAAGGAACAGATTCTCCCCCGAGCCTCCTGAAACATCCAGTCTGGATTGTAGCCCCACAAGACTCGTGTGTCGGACTCCCAAAATCCCAAACCAGAAGAGGATGGATGCAGTTTTAAGCCACTATCTGGCACTTGGCATAAAGCAAGAGAAACACCCCCAGAGGAACACGGGGTGGGGTGAGTGATAGGGTCTGGTGGCTCCCTCCTGTCTGGAGAGGTCAAGGAGTAGGAAGAAGTCATTTCAACCTCAAACTGCCCCTTTACAGTTACTACTAAAAGTCACTGAGTCTCAGTCTGACTGGCAGAAGTTACCCAGCCTGATGGGACTCAGCTGGGATTTTAGGCAGGGGCAGACACTTGAGGCCACCAGGCTTTCGCCCTTGTTACAACCCCTGAGCACACCTGACAGTGACAGGCAGCTTGGTGCAAGTGGGTCTTGATCTACTCTGTCCACATGCCCCATTGAGACATGAAACCACAGGCCACCCCAGTCACTGGCATCCCTCACAACTAGCTCTAGGAAATCTGGGGTCCCCATAACAGTGATCTGAACAGTGAGGTGGGTGTGGTAAATCATTTCTCACTAGCCAGCAAACACACATTCTGCAATTTCATGTCCAAGCTCAAGTTGGAGGGCTGGCTCCATGATCCATCCAGGTTAGAGCCCTAAAGGGACCTGGCCCATTTTGCCTTTAGTGAGCAAGGAAAGAGGAGGCCTGAGGCCAAAGGGAAGCTGACAGCTCCACCTAAACTGAACTCCAGGGCAGTACAATCCAGGGAAGCTATAAAGGTGGGGGCCTTGAAGGGCAAACCTGGGAAATCTCAGGAAGCTGAGGAAAGGCAATGAAGGGGCAAAAGAGGTGTCTGGAGAACTTGAGAGAGGGCAGAGGGTTCAGGTGACAAGACCAGCTACAGACAGACAAACAGCGGCTGTTCAGACTATAGAGCTGTTTGAGAGGGGGATGGCAGACCTACCTTCTGCAAATGGGAATGGCCAGGGCTCACAGCTTAGCATGGCCTATGAGCCCTTTGCAGGACTTATGTAGGGTGCTCTCAGCTGCTCCACCCCAGATCTCCCCAGGGGACAGGCTTCGATGAGGCCAGAGGACTTGGTCAGTCTGACATAGAACACCGGGCAGAAGGGTCTTACAGGGATCAAGCTGGTCCTCTCACCCCAAAAGGAGCTCCCACTTCAGTCTTCTGTTGCTCTTGCTCCCAAATAAGCCCCTCTTTCCCTGAGTCCTCTCCTCTGAAGGGACCGCATGACACTGGCTGCTGATTCCTACTGGTAAAACTATCAAACACCTCATACTTAGTAAAGTGCTGGGTGATGAGATCTAAAGTCACCACCATCATCCCTTTGATGAGGCAGCATTTAGTCTCATTCCACACTAGGGGAAACTGAGCCACACAGGCAAAGTTCAAGGTCAAGGGCAAGCAGAAAAATATGGAGCCAATCAGAGTGGAAGAAGACAGGCCATGTAGGAGGGATGGTGGAAAGTGGTGGCCTCTAAAGGTACATGGAAGACTTATTTCAGGACCAGGGCTCAGAGCCATCCTAAAAGCACACAAGGAAAGTGGGGGCAGATGAAGCCTGAGACAGCACAGGTCTTGGAGAAGCCCACAGATGACCCACTGAAAGGCAGAGTCCTCCCACCACCTGTACCCAAGCCCTTACAGTCACCATCTCCCCCAGGCCCCTCCACCTCAGGGGTGGTTCCCACCTCAGAGGCACACACCTGCCTTTCCCCAGCAATTCAGAACCTCTCACTTCTGCTCTGGGAGACCCAGTGAATGGATTCCACCCTCTCCGGCCAAGCCTAGCCCAGGGTGGGGTGCTGAGAACAGACAGAAAGGAAGAAGGGGCTCGCCCTGTTGTGACCTCCTCCTCACTGATCTCCACAGAGTAGCCAAGATGGCTCTTGTCAGACACAGCAACCTTCTGGACCAGCATTCAGCATCCCATCTCTGGGCCTTTGCACATACTCTTCTCTGGCCTGATTCTCCTCAGGTCTAAACTCTCAGGTCCTTCAGCCTGCTGAACTTCTTCCAGCCCAAGCTCTGAAGAGAATGTCAGGGAACTGGTGCTCAGCTCCCAGATAAGGATGGGCCCCCCACCTGTGTTTGCCTCTGCCTCAGGTTCAGCCCAGGGCCTTATCTGTGGATCCACCTGCCTCTCAGTGGGAAGGAAAGCTTTTTACAACAGACTCCACCCAGGCTTCAACTCTGACTTGGGGCAGCTGGGCCTATCATATCCCACCCCTCTGGTCTTCTTTAACACTACCCAGGTATCAGCAAGGGCCCTGGGAGGTCTCCACCCTCGCAGGGCAGGCCTTCCTCAGGCTCCCTGAGCTCTTAGCTGCCCTCCAACCTCTGGCACAGGGCGATCATGGCTTGAGCCTGAAGGACCTGAGTGCCAGTTCTGGCTGGGTCACCTTAGAGAGAGGCTAGCTTTCTCTCAGTAGCTCAAACTCATCTGTGTGGGGTCTGGGGCTGAATCCCACTACAAAGGCTGCCAGGGGAAAATTTAGCACTTGTTAATGATCTGTCAGTCACCTCTGGTCCCCTAGGCGGGCCTGTTGTACACCCCCAACCCTGAAGGCTGGAGGGGGAATGTGAACTGGCTCAAAGAAAAGCCTTTCTCAGCCGGATCCGCCCTGCCCCGCCCCCAACACCATACACCCACTCCTGCAGGCAGGGAGAGAGGCCCCCCTCAACCTGGGGATCCGGACCAAGAAAGGGAGCAGGCTCAGTCAGACTGGGGTGGCCTCGGCCTCGCCCCTTCCCCCAAGCCATGGGGTAGGGGTATTTAGAAAAGGGTTGGGAGGATGAATGGGTGGAAAGAGACAGAGGTGGGAACAGGAAAGGGGACTTGTAAGGAAGATTAGAAACAGTCAAACCCGGTGATAAAGCGCACCCCAGAGCATGTGCACAAAAAACCCCAACTCGGAACAGCGTGGGAGAGCGGAAGAAGGCCCCTAGCCTGAGGCTGCGGGTGGAGGTGGGGATGCGTCCAGGGACCGGGGCGGATCTTCGGGGTCCCCGCCCCGCAAGCCTCTAGGCCATCGCTCACCTCCCAGCCCCGGCCCGTGGGATATGCAACCCCTGCTCCGATTCGTGCTCGTGGAGGCACGCACTGGCCGGTGCTGCACCTGCACACACACCTAAACACACACAAGCACGCGCGCTGGCACACGCCTCCCTCGGAGCAGCGCCTCCTACCTGCCGCGCCGCCGCAGCTTGAGTCGGACTCCCGGGATGCAGGGCACGGCGCGGGCACTGGCGCGGAAGATGGACTGGCCCTGGCCGCGGCTTGGGGCTCTGTGGGGAGAGGCAGCCCGGGCAGCACGGGGCAGGGGCTGGAGCTCGGACTCCGGGGCTTTGGTTCCTCCCGCCCGCCCCGCAGCCTCCGCCCATTGGAGGCCAGAGGCGTGGTCTCCAGGGGGGGGCGGGAGGGCAGCTGTATGCGCATGCGAACTGGCGCCCACTCGGAGAGACGGTGTTGCTCAGAGGTGGCCAGGGAGTGCTGGCTGGGGGGGCGGGGGGCATGGCTCCGGCGCTCCCTCCTTCCCACCCTACCGCTGTGTGCACTAGGGGTGCATTCTGGGGTGTAGGCCAGCCGGCTGAGGCCTGCGGAGGATGCTGGCTGACTTAGGGTATGCATCTCCTACAAGGAGTCAGCCAAAGCCAACTCAGGGCCACTGCAAATGGGAGGACCTAAGTGGGGAGCTGCTCTCCTTTCCGGTCTTCACCTTCACACCCACCCCCAAGATTTTGGCTGGAGAAGAGGAATCTAGGCCCTGGTAAGGCACCCAGAGGACACCCCCAGTCAGTTGAGTAAAGCCGGCCCTGTTCTGTCCTGAGCACTTACCTGTGCTGTGAGTAGACTGCAGAAGGGCCTGGATTCTGGGCCTGGTGTACACATGTGTGTCTGCAAGAATTCAGAGGTTGATGTTGGATGTCTTCCTCAATCACTTCCCACTTCCTGGCTCACAATGTACTCTATCTAGTCTGGCTGTTTGTGAACTGTGTGTGTGTGTGTGTGCACGCACATGCTTATGGAGAATGAAGGTCAATGTTGGTGCTCTCTCTCCATCTTAATTTTTTAAATATTTTATTTTTATGTGTATGAGTGTACTGCCTACATGTATGTAAGTGCACCTGTGTCCTGCAATACCTATGGAGATCAAAAGAGGGCATTTGATTCCCTGGACAGATGTTAGCTGCCATGTGGGTGTTAGTGACCAAACCTGGGTCTTCTGCAAGAGCAGCCAATGCTCTTAACTGCTGAACCTTCTCTCCAGCCCTTTTCCATCTTAATTTTTGAGACAGGATCTCTCACTGAACGTGGGGCTCACTGATTCAGCTCTGCTAGGTGGCCAGTGAGTTTTAAGGCTTTCCCTGTCTCTGCCTGCCCAGTGGTGGGATTATGGTCTGTGCCACTATGCCTGGCTTTTTAAAAGAAGTGAGTTCCAGGAATCAGAACTCAGGTCCTCATTCATACCAGCAAAACACTTTGCTGACTGATCTTCCTGCCTCAGAATCCCAAGTGCTGTGCACCTTCACACAGCCTACGTGGAAATTCTGTATTTCTAACTGTACTCCTCCCACTGCATTCTCTTTCTTTCTCTCTCTCTCTCTCTCTCTCTCTCTCTCTCTCTCTCTCTCTCTCTCTCTGTGTGTGTGTGTGTGTGTGTGTGTGTGTGCCATGTCTGTACAGGTGCCCACAGATGCCAGAAGAAGGTTTTAGATCCCCTTGGAGTCATAGATGGCTGTGAACTATTTGACATGGGTGCTGAGGGACAAATTCAAACATAGGACTTCTGAAAGAGCAGGAAGTGCTTTAAATCATTGAACCATCTCTCCAGCCCCCTCCACTGCCCCTGCATTCTTGACCCCTATCCTGAGATGGGTAGATGGGACTGGTTAACAAGGCTATCTTAATATCCCACCTCAAGACACCAGATATTAGGAGCCTCTATTTTTGAGACACTTGCCATATTGAGGGGTTTCTTGCAGATTTTTAAAAATCCCCTCGTGTGTGTGTGTGATGCATGTGACAGTGTGGGCACATGTATGCCATGGTATGCATGTGGAAGTCAGAAGGCAACCTTGGGTATTGGTCCTCACCTTCCACGTATGTATGCCAGACTAGCTGGCCTGCAGGCTTCTGGGAGTTCTGCCTCCATCTCCGTTGTAGGAGTTCTGGGGTTATAGATGCACTACTGCATCCAACTTCACATGGGCCCTGGGAATATGAATTCAGTTCCTCCTGCCTACATGGTAAGTGCTTTACTGAGCCATCTCCTCAGTTCTCTCCAAGGTTCTTAAATAGTAGCTTGATAACTTGGTTGTAAGGATAAAAAAAAAAATCTGTATTAGGTCAGGTGTAGTGATGCAAAGCTGTTACTTTTCTCATTATTGTGACCAAATACCTGATAAGGATCAACTTTAGGGAGGAATGGTTTATTATGGCTTACAGCTTAAGAAGGAAGGGATACAGTCCCTCATGGGGGGAAGGGATGGTGACAGGAGCATGAGGTGGCTGATCATATTATTTCCATAGTCAGGAAGCAGAAAGTAGCCAGGCCATCAAACCTCAGGGCCCACCCTCAATGATCTACTTCCTTTGGTGAAACTTCACCTTCTAAAGGTTCTACAACCTTCCAAAACAGCATACCAGTTGAGGACCAAGTGTTCAAACACATGAACCTATGGAGGATATTTCACATTCAAGCTATAGCATTCCACCCTGGCTGCTGAAGGCTCATGATCATCTCATAATGCAAAATGCATTTATTCCAACTTCAAAAGTCCCCACAGTCTTTAATAGTCCCAACAATGTTCAAAAGTCCAAGATCTCTTCTGAGACTCAACTGTATAATCAAAAGAAAAGTTACGTACTTTCAACATACAATGCATAGTGTAAACATTTCCATTCCAAAAGGGATGAGTGGGCCATAGCAAGGATGATCAGACCGAAACAAGGCCAAAACTCAGCTGGGAAAACATCAAATCCTGCATGTCTGGAATCTAGGGCTCATGATGGAGTCGTGTAGGCTCCAAAGGGCTTGGGTAAGTCTACCACTCCAGGTCTGTCTCCTGCACTATACATAGCTTCTTTCATTGACTTCACTCCCCCATGCCTACAGCTTTCCTTGGTGGGTATCCTGTGGTCCTAACATCTCCAATGTCCTGATGCTGTTGTCTCCATTGCACCTTAGGCTTCATGTTTCCAGCTTTATGCCATGGCCTCTTAGGATCTACTTGCAGGGAAACTGACTCTGTCACACATTGTCTGGCCTCAGTGACCTACTAGAATGTTAGTGCAGGCCTCCATGACCCCTTCATTCTTGCATGTTGCATGTCTACAAAGCCTATACCATATGGGCAATGTCACCAAGCTCTGCTGTCAGCTTAAGATGTATGCTGAACTCCTTGGACCAAAGTTGTAGCAGCCTCTGTATGCTTTGGTGGCTGACTATTTTTGAGCAGGGAGCCCCTTCTGCAGCATTCTTAGGTCAGGTTCTCTCCTTTTAAGTGAATTTGTGTTTTCACAGACAGAGCTATCAGTGGGTGGGGGCTTGCCCTTGATGTACCTTTCTTGGATAAGTGTAGTGACATAGTCTGAGCACAGTTATATCTTGTCTTGAAAGTTCCTCTGGCAAACAAATTTGTTAGTTTTGAATTTAGCCTAACTTGACTTCTCAGGATATTTGCTGAATTCAGCCAGATTCTTTGACAGATTGTAAAATGAATGACTTCTAACCCAATTCCTGATAGTGTCCTTGTTTCTCTCTGAAACCTCATGAGCTATGCATCCATTTTCTACATTTTCCTTGGCATTCTGGTCCTCTAAAATTCCATCAGAATGTCTCCTTTTGCCTGCTTATAGCATTCAAGAGCTTCTCTTAGTTCATAGCTCCAAGCTCTTCCACATTCCTCCCACAAACCAGTTCCAAAGGCCTAAGAACCACTGGTCAGATTTTTCATAGCAGTGACCCCATTTCTGGTACCAATTTTTATATTAGTTACTTTTCTCATTGTTGTGACCAAATATTGGTCAAGAAGCAACTTAGAAAGGGTTTATTTTAACTTACAGTTTAAGAAGGGATACAGTCCCTCATGGTGGGAAGATGATGGCAGAATCATGAGGTGGCAAGTCACATTGAATCAGTCCACTGAATCAGCCCACGGGAAACACAGAGTGGACAGGTAGTGAAGCTGGGCTATAAGAATCTCAAGACCTACCCCCAGTGACCCACTTCCTCCTATGAAGCTCCACCTCTGAAAAATTCTATAACTTTGTAAAACAGAACCACCAGCTAGGGACCAAGTGTTCAAACACATGAGCCTATAGGGAACATTTCATATTCAAACAACAATACCTGGAGGTCTAAGGTGGGAGACTTTTTTGAGCCCAAGAGTTCAAGCCAGCCAAGACCATCTCAAAAAACAATAATTATGAAAAAAAGGAAAGCTATCGTTGTGATTTTCACCTGGGAAACACTAACATTATTACACACAGGAACACTAATGATAAGGGTTTTCTGGCTGGTGCAGAGATTATGCTATTTCTAGGCATTGGTAGGGTGAAGGGTGTAAAGTCCTTAAGAGCTAGGTAAAAAGGATTGGGTCATAAAAGACTCTGACAAGTAGAAGGAACAGGGCTATCCTAGGAGGAAATGAGTTCCCACTTATAGGAAGATCCAAGTAGAGGTTGGACAACAGGTCAAGGAGCCTGCAGAGATGGCCTTTCCCTGGAGGCCAGGAGAGGAAGAGGAGGAAAAGGAGGAGAAGGGATGAGCACAGAGTGAAGTGTCAGTGTAGGTCTGTAGGTCTGGATCCCAATTCTGTTTACTAATTGTGTGACCTGAGGCATCTCCCTGTGGCTCAGATCTGTCATTGGCTAAATGGTGCTAATAAACGTTCAAGGTGGTTGTGAGAATTTAATGAGAAAACACCTACTCACCAGGCCCTTTAATGGCACCATTAGATGACTAAGCTTATGAGAGCCAACCAGCAGGGTCCTGAGGCCAATGCATTAGCAGGGCTGCACTCCCCACCCCCGAAAACAAATCTTGTTAGGCAGGCCTGGCTCATCTTGACTTTTCTTGACCTTTTCTTCCCCAGGGAGTAGTGGGGCCAATGTTCTGTCCACAGGCTGGGTGCCCTCAACAGGTCACTGTCTCTCTGGGCTTCTAGCCTCATCTATCAGGAAGGCGAAGCTGCCAGAGATGGGCTCTGAGGTGGGCCTAACCAGCCTTATCATTCTAGGTTACCTGACACTACCCGATCATGTTACAGAGTACATGTCTCTGCTGTCAGGGACTCAGTATCTTTACAAAATGAAGGGATTGCTCTAGATGACAGTAGCACAGTGTGTGTACTGCTGTGCTGGTTCTGCAGTAGGGTTAGGCTCTTTTGCAGTGTTACATAGCTA